CGGGTGGAGCGGGTGGAGCGGGTGGAGCGGGTGGAGCGGGTGGAGCGGGTGGAGACAGGATCCCAGCACAGCCAGACCAAACACCAGGAGAGCCTAGTGAGTAAAAAAGGCAAAGTGGGTACCTTTCAGGGGTCCTACCAAGGCATACCACTAAGAGAACACAGCAGGAACTAACAACAGAGTTAGTGCAAAGTTTATTGGGGAATGGAAAGAGTTCAAGAGCGAAAGGCCGTCTCGGAGTGGAGATACGAGAGAGGCAGGGAGACAGACAGACAGAGCAGGGAAGAGACAAGAGGAAGAAGAGAGATGGGGGTGCCAGTGACTCAGGCAGCCCAGTCGGGGTTCAGGGTCAGGGTCAGACCCTGGGTGAAAAGGCCCCTGGAGCCACCTCAACCTCAGCCAACAAAACCTGGGCCACTGAGCACTGGCTGCAGAGAGAGGCGTGAGTGCTGAGCACAAAAGCCCTGGATGAGGGAGCTCAAACCATTTGTTTGGGGCATATGGTGTGAGACAGCCCCAGTTTGGGTAAATGCGGCAGCAGGCACCCCAGGGGTGACTGAGGGTTGGGCTTAGACTCAATGTTGCCCATTTCCAAGCCTGTGCCAGAGACCAAAGACTAGGGCAAGGCATCTCCTGAGACAGCCTGGGGTCAAGTGGCAGGGGTGAGGGCAGCCTTTGGGAAGGATGTCTCCTAAAGCAAAGGTCCCCCAGAACAAAGACTTTCTTTGCTCCAAAAATGGACTGGACTTGTGCTGGTGCAGTCACACCTTGGCAGGGGACCCTAGAGGTGCTTGACCCAGAAGAGGTCTTGACCTGGAAGAGGTAACCAGTACTTCTGTAGGCAGTGGCTGGAAATGGGTGGACTTACCCCAAGGTGAGGGGTGAAAGCTGACCACATCTAGCAGAGAGAAAGATAAAGGGAGAGGAGTGTCCCCACCATGTGGCCAGGGGACCCAGTCCACCCTGCAGGGAGGCTCAGCTCCTCCCAGCTTTTTGGCACCAAGATAATAGGTTTTCTGTATCTCGATAATAGATTTTTCTGCTGACACAGTAAGCCAGATGAAGCCAAATTAAATAAATAAGTAAGTAAGTAAATAAATAAATAAATAAGTAAATAAATAAATAAATAAATAAATAAATAAAAGAACGGGTATATTTGAGCAAAGCAACTCCTGGGTGAGTCTTCCAGTCCCAGAGATCAGGCCAGAGAAGTCATGCCCCCCGAAATGAAGCAAGGAGCTTATATAGCGTGTAGGCGAGGGGTGATGATGCGTCTGCTACAAGCTGGGTTTGTGCTCAAGTGTGGTCCAAAGCTGAGGGACTTGGGCTGCTGGCAACTTCAGAGGAGGAGCTGCCATAGCCACCAAGAATGTGGAACTGAGCTCTTTGGTGCCTTCTCTTTGTTGGAGATTCTCTGAGAGGGTGTGGTTTTGGGGAGACAAATGGGGCTTTCTGGATCAAGCAGGAGTGAGCAGGAGGTTCCAGCCAGTCTCCTGTGCTAATCCTGAGCAACCCCTTCGGGTACAGCAAATCTCCTTGCCTGACCCCTGCTCAGTGCTAGTTCTTAAGAATCAACTACGATCAAGCAGCCATGTTGCATATCACTTTACAGAAAACCTGTGGATAAAGAGAGAAGGCTAAAACCCAGGTCAGAGAGTGTCTGAGGAATGAACCCTTCTTTACTGGCTTCCCTCCCTGTAGTCCCAAGCCAGCTCCAGGCTGTAAGAACCAACTGTGCTTACCTTGTCAGGAGATTAAGAATGGCTGGTCTGGGGAGACAAAGCCTCTGTCTCTAGAACCCCGGGACCTTTTCTAGGGCCCCTAGAGCCCTCAGCTCTACTTCCCCGGTCCTGCTGCCTGCCCACCCTTGACCTACCTCAAGCATACTGTGTTCCACCCCATATGATCCCTCAGATAGACATTTCCACGTGTTCCAATCTGTTTCTAAGATTAGTCACGTTGCTCATTAGAGGTGATGATGCTCTGTCATAGGTAGATGAATAAGGTTGGTTTCAGTGGCCTAGGCTGAGGAAACAACCCTCTCCCACTTGCCCTGTATTTCCCAAGCAATTCGTATATACATTTTCTTACTCACTTTTCTTACCGATAAGGGGCTCACTAATACCTGTGAGGGATGACCTACAGATAAAGGGAGGTAACACTGGAAGGCATCAGTGTTGTCTGTCTCAAAATAGGTGCTTTATAGGGGTTTTGTGTTGTCATAATGATGAAGAAAGGTCCACGCATGTAGTAACAATTCTCTTCCTTTTTATTATTTATTTATTTGTTTGTTTGTTTGTTTATTTTTTGAGATAAGATTTCTTTGTGTAACAGCTCTGACAGTCCTGGAACTCATTTTGTAGATCAGAATGGCCTTAAATTTACAGAGATCCACCTGCTTCTGCCTTCCAAGTGCTGGGATTAAAGATGGACACCATCACCACCCTGCAAATTCTCTTCCTTTTAAGACTTCCAGAGAGGCTTTTATGATCAAATAGGAAGATTCAGTAGTAACAGGAAAGCATCTAAAACACAATGACTTTTGTTCTTGCTTATTTGTGACCAGGTCACTCAACACCATATGAAGGGGATTCCTAGAATCCCTTAGCTGACCATTTCCTCTCAGGTCAATGGTCAGCTAAAGACACAGTGGACTTCTTTGTTCTGCCTACAGGTTCCAGTGTTCCATATGTAACAGATGGTGGATTTCTGCTCAAGTGAAGATCCTGTGCCACATGTACCGGGAGCCAGGGAAATCTCAGGGCCGGGTACTCATGAGGATCTTTGGTCAGAGGTGCCAGAAGTGTTCTAAGTCTCAATTTGAGAATCCTGAGTTCTTCACAGAGAGCATCGGAAGGATTATGGAGAACCTAATTAATTATATTCTGCAGAAATACTATGGGCATGGCTCCAAGAAGAAACCATCAACTTCAAATGAGAAACCTCTTAAGGTGCCTTTGGATAGACCCCATGACACAGCCAATTGTGAGGCATGCACTCTGGGCTACCCTGGAGGGTGTTCCTTTGCATATGAAGCAAATCTGCCCAAATACCCATCTTCCCAACCAAACAGCCACAGCTCTTCCACACCAAAGAGCCACAGTTCTCCCCCACCAAAGACCCACAGTTCTTCCCCACCAATGAGCTACAGTTCTTGCCTAAAAATGAGCCTCAGTTCTTCCCCACCAATGA